TGCTTTTATTATTTTCAATTAAATATTTTTTTTATTTTACAAGTTTTATTTTTATTGTGATTTTTTTCTTTTATTATTTTCAATGTATTTTTTATTATTTAAAAAAAATTGGTTTCTATCTACGTGACTTTACCGAAAGAACCAAGAATATGAATTCCTGCAGTCACTAAAGTTTTAAGCCAAAATAAAATCCTCTACTTCGATTATCATTTTGCATGAGGGGTTCCGCGAGTGTCCCAACCACCGATGCAATCTCTGCTCATCGACGCTTCAGATATTGCCCACTTGGCCAACGCGGGCTGTGTTGTGCACTCATCTGGCCTTTCCGTATATTCCAACATGGGGTGGGTGGACCCGTTTAACAAAACCGCAAGGAATATTAATAATACATGTAATAAGGCCAGACCGTTGGCTTGGTCCTCCCATCACGTATTTCACTTGACATTATACCGCGCACATAACGGATACAGCTTAGTGTCCGACCAACAACTCCTAATTGTGGCCGTATTACTTTAGACAGCAGCGGGACAACAGGACAACTGCATACCCGCTTTTGTGTTTTAGTTTATTGTCCTTCCCTCGCACCTCCGATGAGCACGGCTGGTTACGTACGGTGAAAAAAAGCTCCACATACATACCAGTTTAATTCTTATAAGGAATTATCAGTGCAGTCGAGCCATCATCGCCTCTACTGCTGCCTTGTACCTCGGGGGCTGTGGGCAAGCCGTGCCCGATTACCATGGGGGTAGGTTGGCACCCTGCCTATGGGCGACTATAATCCAATTATAACATTTTCTGTTAATGATGAAAAACTCAAGACAGACAAGTGCATGCAGGCTTGCAAACTGGACCCACGGGCATGAACGGACACATCTCTTGCTTCCAGGTGACAAGGCAGCAGTGGACAAAGCATGACCATCAAGAGTCCCATCTCAGAAGCTCTGGTATGGCGTTCGATAGCCGGTTGCTTAAAACGCCTTCAGGGGACATTTTCCCTGAGTGTGTAGTGTAAATTCGTACACAGTTTTGGGGGAGAAATTTTATCCAAAGTCCTGACCCGATGATCCCATTAAAATGGACAGGCAGGAGAGAGATCAAATGGAGGCACCGTGTGTGTAACCATACACACTGCACACGCATGACCCCCAGGCACTGCTCGTGTGACTTCTGACCTTACGATAATAGGTTTTCCCCTTTTTTCTGGCAACAAAACAGGTGTTAAGATGATAATTGTTTTTTTACCCTTCTATCTGGCAACAAAACTGACACCTTTTTACAAGGAGTCATGTTTGCATAGACCGCAATACCTGCAGTCATAATACAAACAAAAGAACATAACTCTGATAATGTGCACTGTCCTTGAAGTCGATTGGTCCACACCCGAGACAGCTTTCCTTAGAGCCTAGTCTCACATGGGTTGGACCAGATGACGCTAAAAGGCACACAACTCAAAGACAATGCACCATCAGAGTATGAGAGCTCGGGGCAAGCATCTACACTATGGGAACCTGTATTTGAGTTGTGCGCCTTTTAGCGTCATCTGGTCCAACCCATGTGAGACTAGGCTCTAAGGAAAGCTGTCTCGGGTGTGGACCAATCAATTTCAAGGACAGTGCACATTATCAGTTATGTTCTTTTGTTTGTATTATGACTGCAGGTATTGCGGTCTATGCAAACATGACTCCTTGTAAAAAGGTGTCAGTTTTGTTGCCAGATAGAAGGGTAAAAAAACAATTATCATATTTTTACTGGCAAATGAGGTTCCCATAGGTGTTAAGATGTTAAAACACCAAACTGAAACCTTTAACAAGGAATCATGTCTGCATTAACCACAATACCTGTGGTCAGAATGCAAACAAAAAACATACTCTGAAAATATGTGCATTGTCCCTAAAAACTGATTAGTCCACACCAGAGACAGCTTTATTTTGAGCATTGTCTCAAACGGTGTTAGACCAGAGGACGCCAAAAAGCGTACAGCCCAAAGACAATGCACTATCAGAGTAATGAAGGCTCGGGGAGAGCATCTACATCATGGGACCTCCTTTACCAGTACCAAAATATGAAAATAGGGTTTTCCCCATTTTTCTGGCAACAAAACAGCTGTGTTAAGATGTTAAAACACCAAACTCAAACCTTTCAGAAAGAATCATCTCTGCATTAACCACAATGATTGTGCAGGTTGAGACGTGACAAGTGACACCGTGTCAACTGCGTTGATGTGTCGGTAGCTCGGTGCACGGTGACCCCAGATGACGCCGTCATTAGGTGACCCATTGACGGGGAACTCTGCCAGACCCGGCCGCGCAGGGGGGAGGGGGGGGGCAGCATCGACCACTGCTGTGCAGCGGCTCGGTTAGAGTGGCCGCGAGGAGGCGAAGGAAAACGACGAGCCCGGTGATAATGAACACACAGAGATACACGCACACAGAGACACACACGCACAGACACACACACACAGACACACACACACACTGACACACACACAGACACACACACAGACACACGCACACAGACACACGCACACAGAGACACACACACAGACACACACAGACACACGCACACAGAGACACACACACAGACACACACACACAGACACACGCACACAGAGACACACACACAGACACACACACACAGAAACACACAGACACACGCACACAGAGACACACAGACAGACACACAGACAGACACACAGACAGACACACGCACAGACACAAAAACAAAGATCCCCCGTATAGCCTTAACAGACTGTAGGGGCAAGTGGTGAAAGCGAGCACCTAAAAAAGGCCGGTAAGGCACACGAGGGGGTGGGTGGCCAACACCACGCCCGGCCGCCTTTGTCTCCCCATTGGCGATGTTTACACACCGCACCAGGTACTCGTTTGAGGCTGAGTCGACCTAGGTGAGGCCCAGGACCGGTTCAGATAATCGTCGCTGGTGTTGACCGTGAGCGGGAATCGAAACCGGATCGCCGGGTTCGTAGCGCAGCGTAGCGCTGACCGCTACACTATCGCTCCCCACATACACACAGAGACACACACACTGACACGCACAGACACACACACACAGATACACAGACACGCACATACACACACAGACACGCACATACACAGACACACACATTGACGCACACACAGACGCACACAGACACACACACAGACACACACTGACACACACACAGACACACACTGACACACACACTGACACACACACTGACACACACACTGACACACACACTGACACACACACTGACACACACACAGACACACACACTGACACACACACAGGACACACACTGACACACACACAGGACACAAAGATCCCCCGTATAGCCTTAACAGACTGTAGGGGCAAGTGCTGTTAGCGAGCACCTATGAAGGCCGGAACGGTACACGAGGGGGTGGGTGGCCAGCACCACGCCCGACCGCCTTTGTCTCCCCAGTGGCGATGTTTACACACCGCACCAGGTACTCATTTAAGGCTGAGTCGACCTAGGAGAGGCCCAGGACCGGTTCAGATAATCGTCACTGGTGTTAGCCGTGAGCGGGAATCGAACCCGGGTCGCCAGGTTCATAGCGCAGCGCGCTAACCGCTACACTACCGCTCCCCACACACAGGACACACACACACAGACACGCACACACACACACTGACACAACAACAACAACAACAACCGCCATTCGCCACTAAGTGGCGGTGACGTCACCACGATGCTTGTGCCAGGCCAAGTGCACCTTGAGGCCACGTGAAGTGTCGAAAGCCCGCTGGCAGGAGGTCACGGGGCAGACCCAGGTGCCACTGGTCGACTGACCGAGATGACTGGCTGATGCACCACCTGTGCCCCCTACTGTGCCAACTTGCTGTGCTTTAGCCACCCGGCGCTCCGCTCGTTGTTGTGAGCGTCGCTCCTCCGCCCTCCGTTGTTGTTGGAGGGCGACTGCCTCCAACTGCCCAGTAGCGTCCTTCACGAGCCTCCTCCACTGAGGCCGATCTTGACACCGCTGGTACCAGTCATCGGCAAGTCCACTCAGCTCCACGTCCTCCTGTACCACATCACTCCATCTCTTCTCCAGCCCGTGCCGCGCCCGTCTAGCCCCCTCGATCCGGCCGAACAAAAGCTGTTTAGGCATGCGGTGGCTGGGCATGCGGGCTACATGACCCAGCCAACGCAGCCTTGCCTGCCGGAGGAGCTCACTGATGGGACTTTGCCCAGATCTTTCAAGGATTTGTGAGCTCCTCACACAATCCAGCCTGGTTAAACCCAGGATGGATCGTAGGCAGGCCAGCCTAAATGTTTCCAACCGGCGAAGATGCTCCACCAGGGGGGTCCACGTCTCGCAAGCGTAGAGAAGGGAGGGAATGACCGTGGCCGAGAAGACCTGAAGCTTCGTGCGGAGCGACAGACCAGGTAGCTTCCACACAGCGTTACGCAACCGATGAAAAGATATTGCCGCTCGACTGATTCGGAGTGAGACCTCTGCTGATAGACTGGAGCCGGTCATAAGCACACTGCCCAGGTATGGGAAACTCTCCACTCTCTCCACAACTGCCCCATCACCAATTGGGAGTTGTGGGGGTGGAGTGTCCGATGGTACAAAATACCCAGGCAGGTGCTTGGTTTTGGTGGGGCTGATGGTAAGGCCCCACCTCTTAGTGGCACGCTCCAGTCTCAGCAGCAGCGCCTCCAACTCCTCTTCTGAATGAGCAGCTATTACCAAATCATCGGCATACATAACGTGGTTGACCAATAGGGAGCCATCCCTTGATCGCACCCGGGCGTCGATCAGCCTCCCATTATATCTGACACACACACTGACACACACACAGGACACACACACAGACACACTCAACGCGGACTCCGCCCACACCTCATTCCACCTCCTCCCCGCCCCTCGGGAACCGTGCGCGCGACTGCCCCCCCCACTTCACCCCCCCCCCCACTTCAGACCCCCCCCCCACTTCACCCCCCCCCCATCCCCGTGCGCGCGCGCGCGACTTACGGCGCTGGGAGTCGCGGGGGCCGCGGCCTCGCGCAGCTGGCGGAGAGGTCGCCCCGCCCCTCAGCCCCACCCCCCACTCCCCGCCCCTCAGCCCCCACACCTCCCCCTTTTCGCCCCCCCCCCTCGCGCGCCGCCTCCCCCCGCCCGCCCGCCCGCCCGCGCGCGCGCGGCTTCGACTCCAGTGCGCGCGCGCGCGCCGCTCACGTGACTCGAGCAGCCGGAAGCGGCGCGCGCGCGTTCGCGTGGGGCGAGAGGCGGAGGGGGGCGGTAGGGGGGTGCCCCCAGTATGGCCCGCCCACTCGCGCGCTCTCATACCAAAGGGGGGGGGGATGATGGGGGCGGTGGGGTTGATGGGGGCGGGGGGGGCGGTGGGGGGGGTGCCCCCAGTATGGCCCGCCCACTCGCGCGCGCTCTCTCATACCAAAGGTGGGGGGGGGTGATGAGAGTCGCTCTCCACGTGATTCCCGGTCTCTCCACGTGGACACCGACTCACCATTGAAGCTGCCAAACGTCGTGGGTTTTGCCAGGTCACAGTGGTCTAAGAAAGGCGGTCATCCCGGTGTCTTCCCGAAGCTTTTTGTGAAAATCTGGATTGTATCTCCAGATTCAAATGCTCTTTTTGTATGGCCAATGAAGAGCAACCATTATGCGTTCAGTTCTCTACCTGATTTAACCATTCAATGGCTTTTTCTGAGAGTTGGTGAATATCAGATACACCGCTTTCAATTTAATACTTGGGGCAGTGCGAAGTTATAATACAATCCATGGTTTGGTGTTAGTGGCTGCATTGGCACACTAAACTCTTGATGCTGGGAGGAGGGGGGGGCAACCTGGGGTCAACGTTAGAAAGAGCGAAGACATTTACTTGTGTGGGTGAGATTAGCGATTAAGTGGACGTGGCTATCCAAGAAGAAGTGGGGCTGGCAAAGTTAGGGGGAGGAACGTCCAGGTAGCCGTGTGTCCAGGTTGATCCTCCCAGAAATGTGTTTCAGGTTGTTATGGCCATGTTGTGAAAACACCAAACGCATAAGATCCATGGGTTTGATCTTCCACGAAGCTCATGGTCCACCCTAAACCGCATCCACTGCACAAACCATGGAAGAGAGATACGGAACCCTGATGCACAAATGGAAAATTAAAAACTCTCCAGTAGCGTGCGACTGTGGTCATCCAGAACAGTATAAGAAAATAACGACGCAATGCTTGATCCACAAATACGAAGGAGACATCCCAGCGATGATACATTCCGCTGCTCCTGATGTGGTAGTCTCTGGGCTTGACCACCTGAATGTGAGATTGTAGATATTGCTCTGCATCTACATCAGCAGCCGTACGGAATAAAGATGGACATGTTTAATGACGTTGGCATCTAAGCAGTCTTCTGCCTGTGTATTGCACAAATGAAACGGTGCAACGAATAAAAATACAAATCAAAATATGAATAAAAAACACAATGATAGTGTGACCTGCATTATTGTTGATGTAGTGGCGTAACGCGCGCAGGGTTGCAAACAGCAGTTACATTGTGTACGGGGTTGCAGACAGTGAGGTCAGCTAAGGATAAGCAGGCCTGGGTGACAGCAGACAGAGAGACGCCAGCATTTAGGGAAAGAGGCAGTGATTGGCGGCTGCAAATGCAAACGCGGAGTCGGCGCCATGGAGGTGAGAGATAGTGGCGATAAGGGGGAGAACACGTGTGTGAGGCTGGGGAGCACGCCGGCTTAATGAGGGCCATCTGAGGGCACTTAATTAGGAGGGGGATAAAAGAGGAACGTGTGAAGCTGAGGGGTTGAGTTGGTTGGAGTGAAGACAAGAGTGGATTCAAGAGAAGTCCCAGACCCCGCTCTCCACACCTCGTCCACTCCAGTGGTGTTGGCTGATCCCCTGCTGGAGGCACGGGCGAGGTTGGAGGCGTGAGGGTGATAAGGCTCGCAGTAGAGAAGCTCGCAGAGTTTATAGTAAGCTAGCGGAGTGTATAGTGAGAGGCCGGCAGTGGATAAGCTGGCAGAGGGGAACATAGCAGGCTAGCGGAGGACGACCTCTGACCCTAGCACTATGGGAGCAAAAAAAATGGACCCAGATTTGGAATTCCACCCCCCAAGGGGTCAGATCCCTCCCCCTAATACACGATTACAAACATGCGTTCTGGTCATGTCCGACTATTACTGAGTTGTATGAACATTTCATGGGGGTATTCTGGCCCGGGAGGGCCGTGGCGTGCGATGTACTTACGTCGCGGACAGCACCGTGTATTGCTGTGTGAGGCCGGCTCTAGCATAGCACGGCGTGCGATGCACTGTCATCGCGTACACCCCATAGGTGGGTGTAATACCAGCCCTAGCGGGGTTTGGTGAGTGCTGGGATAGCGCGGGCACCACGCATGGCGTGTAGTGCGGGCTCCCACAAGGGGGAGCAGGAGAGTGTCAGCCCAGGGACAGGGTTGCCCCGGGCCATGGCACTCTGGTTGACCCCGTAGGCACTTGATCCGGAGTGTCCACAGAGAAGGCCCCAGGTGGGGGGAGGCTAGGGGGTGATCACGTGTCCTGGGAGAGCTCTTGAGAGGGATCGAGAGGGAGCTAGAACGCTCGCGAAGGTGGGCGGGGCCAAGGGCGGAGCCGGCCCCGACCCAGGGGGATATAAGGTGGGTCCCTGAGAGGGACAGGGTCGCTTCGTTCTACAAGCTGGAAGCTCTACATTCTACGTCCTATATCTGAAGAGGCACCAACACGTGGCCGGGAACTCGAGTGAGGGTCTGACCCTTCGTAGCTGTAACTCCTATGTATAGAGTAGTTAGCTGTGTGGTCACCACCGTAGGCTGTATTTGGTAAAGGGGCAGTTACCCCTTTGTATATACGTGTTATGAATAAATGTGTTGCAAGAATAACGTCTGCGACTCAGGTGGACTCACTACACATCTGTAAAAAGAAGTGTGGAAACTACCCTATGGGGGGCTTAAGATAAGGGGCACTGACTCGAGAACAGAACATTTTGTTAAGGACTTTCAATATAGCAGCAACAAAACCCACATTGAGTACGTGGAAGAATCACGAACATCCCCCTCCCACCCTAAATGGCTGTATTCATTAGGCCAAATCTCAGCACTGGGGTATCTGAGCTATAAACTCAGAGACATGGAAGAATACGACAGCACGTACATGGGGTCCATTCCTAAACCTTAGACCAGTCTTAAATAGCTGAGCCCAGAATGGCAATGACCTGGCCACCCACCCCCTCCCCCCAAAAAAATATCCCTTCCACCCCTCCCCCCGCCTGCTCTGATGAGTCCAGTGTGCCTGATACCGTCGATGCAACTGGTAATGTCAGGATGTTGCACTGTATGATGCGAGGGAGGATGTGGAATAAACGCTATGTTATTTAGCAAAAATATGTTTTCTGAAAAACTGACAGTCCATGACGCTGCAGCGTCCCATCGTTTCAAATGGGTGAATTCACCACCACGAACATGAACCGGAGGCCTAGCTTGAAGGCACAACAGTGCCACATTTAAAATATCACGAAACGTGAGGGAGCAGTCACTGCTATGAAAAAATATATCTCTGCCCCTCACTCGGCTCTCACGTCACAACATGCGCGCATCTAATGACGATGCCTCTACGATGCGCCACTAATGAGTGCTGAGCGAGCGCGGTGTGGGCGTGTGTCAAGTTGAGAGGCTTGGAGCAAAAGACTCGGAGACATGCACAACGGCGTGGAGAGATGTGTGGAATAGGCAAAGCATACATAGAGCAGAAGGGATGCAGAGAGACACGGTGTGTGAGATGTTTGCAGCGAGGGAATCTGAGATAGACAATGCACACAGTTCTAACAATAACGGTTTTCGTCCCCTGATGAAGCTGAGGTCAAGGTTTTACTCTGATGTTTTTATTTTTTCAATTGGGTTTTTTAGATGGTTTTATAGGCTGCATCCTGGTTGGGGTGGTGCCGCACACACATCGGTTGACATGTCACGCACAGCTGGCTGGTTTGGCTTCCCTTCTTGCTGTGCATGCCACTACGGTCATATATGTTAACCCAGTAATAGGCACAATGGTGTAGCCCTGGCGAGGCTGTTATACAACAATTCACAAAACAGCAACAGCCTGTACAGCTGCACAAAGGTAATACCCGGCCACCAGACTTTGAAATAATAACATACAATCTAGATTTGAAGTTTTCGTGACTGTAGGGATCCATACGCACGCGTCTCTGGAGCCGCAGGTTTGCCGAGCCCTGTCCGAGTACAAAATTATAATGTGTTGGTGAGCGAGCTTTGAGGTCCAATATATTAAAGACCGATTAAATCGTGGCGTTAATGACCGCGCATGCGCGTTACTTGGAGCGGTAACGTGGTCGTGCGTTTTGCCACTCGTTGCAGGGGTTCCACGGTTTGAATCCGGTGGGCCGCACTGGTTAATAATGCAGGTACATTAACCATGAAATACTACGGCGCTGTCTTCTTCAGGGTGGACGTTCAAGGTCCCGTTGTCGTTTGACGAGAGCAAGCCGTTGTGCGCTGGTGTCATCCAAATGTTTAAACTTGGCCGCACGTTACCCAATCGGGATTACACGTACTCTTAGGTTATTTCGGTAAAGTCACGTAGGTATAAAAGAAAATAAATTAAATCACGACGTTTCGGGCGCAACACAAGCGTCCGTCATCAGGTGGACAACCACATAACATACAATAGCCAGACCCATCTTTTTGGATGCTGAGCTGAGAGCATCTGTCAACCCGGGATGACTCCAGCATGGAATTATCATCCAATCCTGGAGATCCTTTCTTGTGCCTCCGTGTCTGAAGTCTGGTCCACCCTGAAGAGTACCATCGGAGAGCCTGAACCACGACCAGATGAATCTCATTTCCCACTGATGGCAGCTCCCTCTAATTCAATTACTGAATTTGGTCATTATTCACTCAGATTACTTCTGTTCAGGAGATTCAGTGAATACTTCCCCACAGGGCCCCAAATATCACAGTTACAACCCTCGTGTGGGCAGCTGCCATGATAAATCTGTAAGTCGTCCTGGGAAATTAAAACACCTGGTTTGTGTCAGGTACGCAATAATACACCACTCACGAGGAAGCTCCAATGGGTATTTAGTCTACTCTTCCACGCCGACCACGTGTCTTAGAAGAGGTGTGCGTAGCCAGAATTTACTAATTTATTCTGCTGAGTGAACAGAGTTTTTGGGAGATTTAAGAATATTTTTTTTTCATTATTTAAACTGCTGCCCAGGGAGATGAAATCGAATCTGCACTTTGCATGTCCAGTGCGCTATTACACAACGCAAGCTCCCTTCGTTTCTTAGTTAAAAAATAAAATATTGTTTACTGCGAGACATTTCTATATGTGCAGCAAACCAGTAACCAGGTTTTCCTGTTTTTTACTTTCAGTTACCAGAAATGTATATTTTTACATTGCTAATGAAAACAGTGTATTTTGTAATAATTGTATTGCATGTATGTGTACGAACAACCTTTAACTCGTGGCACACAACAGGAAGGGGAGTTGGGTCAAGAATGTAATGTATGGAAAAAGAAAAAGGAATGGGAAAAGAAAGATACAAGGGAATGAATAGTAAATAAGAGGAAAGGGATGGTAAAGGAATGGAAAAATTGAACCAAATGGTCGGGAAAGATGAGGCCCTTGGATTTTGTACGAAGCAGCATTTGTTTTCACAGGGGTCTGGAAGAGGGGAGGGATTGAGAGTGGGGGTGGTCACATAGCAGTCACGTGATTCACGGAAGGCTTGAGCTCATTTAGACATGCAGTATAGATGTTAAACCATTTAGCATACGCTTCGAGGCGTATTGACGTTTGCAGCCCACATTATGACATTTCAAATGATGGAAATGAAGGTGTGGGTGCCCTAGTCGAAAAGTACTTCTCAGCGATTCAAGCACAATTGTTAACCCTACTGGTAGGCTGTCGAGTTTGTAATTTTTTTTACCGCATAACGATTTTCAAAGGAAAAATTACATCAAACGTAAATTTATAAAGCAGAACGATTCGGTTGAAAATCGGTAAGTGGTCGACGCGTTTAAAATATGCGTCCTAAAGTGTTATGGCTGGCGTGTGACTCGAAATGGATAAAGCTTCTTCTGGCAGCTTGCCCCACTAAAGAACAAGGTGCCAAAAGCGGGTCCCCTCGGCTAAACAATAAACTTCTGAGACGTTGCTCAATGTTATGGGTGCAAAAAAATATTGTAACGATATTATGTTATTGATTTGCATTGCCTCTTTAACTACAAAGCAGAAGTACCTGTCGGAATGCAAAACCCTTGAGGGAGACAATAACTGCATTGCGCTCGTGTAAGAATAGTTTGATTTACCCCCCCCCCACACCCACATGCGTTCAATATACACTGTAGCACACCAATTTGGGAGGGAGACGATCGGAGTGAATTCCAGTGGAGCCGTGTGAGAGAAGCGAGGGCAGTCTGCAATGTGGTGGCTTTGCAGTGCTTAATGTGCGAGGAAGGTCTTTGCCTGAAACGTCGTCCGTCTCCTTTTCAGGGAATTGTTGTTGACGCCCCATTTCCGAAACTCCCCTCCCTGACTATGCTCAAAGCGCTTTTGAGTTAAACGTCGTTGTATGATGACGTTCAATTCAGCCATGAAAAGGTCTCAAGCAACCGGTGAGGCGCTTTATGGGTCAGAATTCGATCAATAGGTTGGCGCGAATAGATAATCGATATTTGTAGACGGTGACAATCGCGTCGGACGGTGGGGAGTGGATGACGAAAATTTGGCCGGAAAACCACCACGTGGCCTGACCCATAAACAAACACGGACATGACACGTGGTTTGCGAGGGGGGGGGGCAATGAGAGAGCCCCGCCCCCTTCCCCCGCGCTGCCACGACGTCATCCGGGCAGTGCAGCCGCGCTCTGCGCATGCGTGAAGCGACGGTGGTGGAGGCAATGGGAGGTGTGCGGTGCAATGACGTCAGAGGAAACGCGTGTAACAGGGCGGCGGGGGGGGCGGAGCTGGCCACGTGTTGGCAGGTCGGGGATCACGTGGCGTGGAGGGCGGGGCTTTGTAGTGGGCGTGGTTTTGCAAGAGTCATGGGGGGGAAGAGGGAGGGGGGGGGTTAACCAAAAGCGAGGGGAGGGGCTCCACTCCTCCCCCCGCTCCGCCATCTTTTACCCGAGCGCGCGCGCTCCCATTGTCTTCACCCGCAGCGCCAGCCCCGCCCCTACATCCCCAGCCCCGCCCCCTTTAGCCCCGCCCCCCTCGTCCCTTCTACTCCCTCCAGCAGCCCCGCCCCTCGGCCTAGCGTCTCGCGCTCGCCCTGCCCCTCGCCTGAGCCCGGGACGCGGCGCAGAGAGACACGGCAGGCGTGGTGGGGCCATGGAGGACGACGGGCAGCCCAAGACGCTGTGAGTGGCGAGGCGGAGTGTGGACACGGCGGGGGGGTTAAGGCGTTTAGGCGACGTGGAGAGGGACGGGGCGAGGAGACGCGAGGGAGCATGGGGCGAGGCGAGGTGAGCCGAGGCCCAGGGCCTGGCTCACCGCGCAGGCCGGCCTGGCTAATGTTGCCATTGTTGTGCTCCTTTGTTGTCGTTTCCTCAGGAATTATCTTTATTGTTACGTTTGTAGTCGCGAATGGAGTAGCGATGTTTAAAAGGAACGGGACGTGCCTCCTGCGCCGACGGCGACCGCGTGATTTTGTTAATTTTTTTGACGCGGGGCGCGAGCGCGCGGAAGCTCCCCTCCATTCCACAATCACTGGGGGGGGCACGGGCTGGGGTGGGATGGTGGTGTTCGGGAGATGTTGGAGCGTTTCAGGACGGGGTATGTGTTTGCGTGAGGTGGTGGGATGATGTTTTGAGTGTGAGGACGGGATAGGTGTTTGCGCGAGGAGATGGAATGATGTTTTGAGTGTGAGGATGGTGTTTGAGTATGGGGGGGCGAGTGGTGTTCGCGAGAGAGGATGGATTTGTGTGAGTGGAAGGGTGGGATGTTGGTGATTGAGAGGATTGTGCTTAAGGATATGATTGTGGTGGTGGTGGTGTTGAGAGGGGATTGGTTGGGTAATGTTTGAGTGAGAGGATCGATGGTGTTTTAAGTGGGAGGATGGAGTTTTGGGACTGAGATGGTGTCACCATCTCCTTGCCTCGCATTCAGACCCAAATCTGGCAACAGAGACTCTTGATGGATCCTCACCTGCGTGTGGATGAAGTTGTGTGTGCCCCTGAGTGAGGAGTGCGTGTGGAGAATCCCCACTTGGTCCACTACACATTGATATCGCTGCAGCACTTCATCTGCAACAATCAACTAAATATAAAGCCGTCCTGGGGTGTGTGTGGGTACCACCAGATGCAATAATTAGGCGTCTCAGCCAGCCTTGGAGCATGTCAGTGTTTTCGAATAAAACAGCAAAATCTATCGTGACAAAGCCTCAATTTAAGAATCTCGCATTTAATCCGTACGAATTTACTTAGACACCATCCAGTACTGACGTGAGTGCCCTCCAGTTTCCCTGTGCATGTAATATTTCACGATCAATTTCGCCTCGTTATGGGCATCGCAATAAGTCAATTGATGTTTAATTTACAAAGCAAATGGCAAGGACACGTGGATTTTGCAGTGGCCAGTTGTTCCACTGCGTGTGTTGGGAGAGTGCGAGAGGACCGTGCTGCCATTGTGCTGCTAGACACGTCTGCATTTTCCAGCAGAATGGAACAAAATGCAAGGAGTGTGTCTTTATACACTGCCTGAGGAGCATTTTAGTCATTTACTTTAGCGAAGTGTTTCTCAAATTTATTTGTTTTATTGCATTGTGATTTCACCTAACTTTCAAGACCTCTAAATATCAGCACGTGTCAAAAATATATTTGAAAGAAGGCCGTGTCATGTGTACGTTTAAATTTCCATTCTATATGCGTAGTGTGGGGATGTTTAGATGCATGAATGAGAAGCGTCATTGTAGCAGTTTGACCCAGAGTGGCCGAGAGTGTAGTAATAACTACGGGGTGTTTAAGGAAGACTGCTGCTACTGTATGCCAGGCTCTTGTGAAAGTGACGTCTTCACCCCAGCTCGGCTGAGGGTTGTTCAGTCCAGCACAGCTTTTGCACTCTGCTGCCGTGTCTCTTGGAAAAGGGAGACTTCTTCATGAGCAAGAGGCACAGCAAGGCCTTCAATGCAAGGATTATGGGACTGCAGGCAAATAGGAGTTTCTGTGCTGACCCAGCAACATCGTTCACAAGCGATGTCTGTTGTGCACAGCATGTGTATTTTGGGCCCGCTTCAGAACATTGTGTTGCGTTGTGTGCAGCTCAACTGTTTTGAACTTGTTTTGCGCCAAGGTTGACCGACTTCAAAGGGGGAGGGGGGGGTCATAGCAGTGATAAGTGGTGGATCGGTGAATCTATTAATCGAGACATCGGTACTAAGACGTACAGCAATGGCTAAAAGAGCATGTTCAAGGTTTAATGTTGTTTAGATTTTTTGGGTCGTGTAGTGTCGTGGCTGCCTCTTGTTCGGATATGCCTGGGTCATGGAAGTTCGTATATGGATTGTGTTATATGTTCGGGGTGGTGGGTTGATTGGTCACGCACTGCATTTTTATTAAAAGGATAGCAAATGCAAATATTCATTTGCATATCTCTTGGCTCAACTTGAAAGGCATGTTTTTATATTTGTAAACTTATTAGCAGTCTTGTACACTGCCGATTAGTTAGCTTGCAAATATAAGCTCGTAGCCCAGCTGCCCAGCATTGAGCATTATTGGCAGGCCTGCATGGGCGTCTGATTGCCTGGCTTTCACATGCGGCTAATTGGCTATGAGTTTTGTATTTGTGCTTGATCCACATCATGCGTGTTAGGCCAGTGAAGGAATGCAGGGCCTGGACATACATGTCAAATTCAACCTGGCTTTGCTTTGCTCCTTAAGGTTTTCCTTTTCCACCAAAATGTCCGAAGGAGGGAATGGTTATTACAAGGATTTTAAAATGCTCACGCACTCTCTCAGTTGCTGCTCTTCACTTCCTCGTTCCCCGCACAGACTCGTCCATGCTGTGTTGGAGCAAGAGGAGACATCACGTATTTATGGCCAAACATAACTAGGCATAATTCACAGTCAGCTTTCTAACAAGTGCTGTAGCTTCTATAACATGCTTGCTGTTAATGCTGTAGACATTTAATACTACATTTTATTGTATCGATATTATTTAAAGATAAATGGTGAAAACGTGGGTATTTCCATTAGTTTCCTCAGATTAAGGTGCGATCAACGCTAATGCAGCACAGTGATTAGAATATTAAGTGCCCAACTAGGCAATTACTGTAGACTGTTTGATCGCCGCGATGAGAATTCATATGGAAGCAGTAATCGCTCCGAATGTTTGGTTAAAGGGCATGCCGTAGTGGTTACGTGAATTTAAATTTTTTATTTGATTTTCTGGTTGTGAAATATTTCCATTGCAGTCTGTAATTGTCATGGTTTTCCAAAAGTTCTTTACTCCAGTGCAAGGTCTAAATCATTATTTTCTAGCTTCAAAATGTGAAATATTTCACTCGCTTGTTTTGTTGCATTTGTCGTCTAGAGGAAATGTGGTTCCTGACTTTTGTTAACCAAAGCACACACCGTTATTTGAGACTAGTTGAGAGATTTGAGGTGATGTGTAATTTTGTGAATAGCCAGGAGAACTTAAAGGACCCACAATTATTTTGCCCTACAATAAGATTCTGTTCAGCTTTGGGCTCTGCCACCAACACACAATGGTCCACTTTACTGAAGTTAGACAATCACAGTCAACAAGCATGTGTGGGAACTGTGCCCTGAACTGTAGGCACACTGACCCATAGGTGTGTAACGATGGACCAATACAAATGGATTACTTTAATTATGATACATGCATTGTATGTATGTTGAACTTCTCTCACACTCTACCTAGCCAACCGTGGTCATTGGAGGTGTGGCGTAAGGTCAACGAACTTAATATAAAAATGAATTCCCTTATATATGAAAGTTGCATGCAAATTATCGACTAGTGTACATTTTTGCTGATGAAAAAAACACAAGACAATCGTAGATTACACAAATGGTAAGACAAAATATATGAGATGGACATTTCGAATGAGATGGTATATAACAAAAGGAACAGAATAAGCAAGATGTACAGAACAATGCAGAATACAGTGTGTTTGCCATATAAAAGATACAAGGGATATTAAAATAAATAAACTACAAACGGGATAGCACAATTGCGGAAAATGCAAATGAGGCAGATGAAGCATATGGGAATACTAGGGGTCGTCAGTTTAACACATAGAAGGCGTTCGCGACCAATATCCAGTATATAGGTTTTTTTTGGGGTTAGATTGCGTAAATATAATGTGTCATTAAACCTGCCACCACCCGACACAGCCAATTAGTAAGGTTTGTCACGTAAACAGAACGTGCCAATTCGTTACTAGTACAGCGCACTGGTGTGTTGGTGAGAAAATATACAACATTTACAATCTGAGTACGACGTTTTGCCAGTAATTATAACTAGCATCCTCAGATTCCAAAGAAGAAGAGCCATAATCTGGCTGTCTACCTGATTCTGCTAGATGGCTGTCTGCCTGATGATGCAGATGGTAAATGGTGTGGCTTTGCTCTCCACCGGTGTGCTGTACTAGTAACAAATTGTCTTGTTCTGTTTACGTGAAAAACCTTATTAATTGGTTGTCGGGTGGTGGGTTTAACAACGTATTATATTTACGCGATCTAACCCAAAAACCTGTATTATGAATACTCGGGTTGCCGCGATACAGGAAAAGTCCAGCTAGTTGAACTTATTGCGGGGGCGGGGGGGGGGCCCTAGTCCGGCTAGCCGTGATTTCAATAAAAATCTTAAGTAAAAACAAATACGCGCGTATGTGCCTTACATGTATGCTGTACATATGTACGATACAGTATATGTTTATATGTAGTACGGTACATACATTTGTAAGTAGGGTACATACATTTGTGTGTGTGTTAGTGTACAAACCAAAAAGTAAAAAGAACATGCGTTTATATTTGCTGTGCAATCATTTGCATGGCAGTCACCCACCACTAACATAATGCCATAAGTACATTTAATACACTTGAACTATTTGATACAATATAGACACCATAACGTGTTCTCGCGCATCATGTGTATTACCAATTATATTCCAAAGTATATGAACCTAAACTATTTAACCTGTTTTTTTCTTATTACCAGGTAAGACCCACTGAACTATTTAGATTATTTTCAGAAGCAACCCGGCCACAAATGATAGCCCAACGAAGTGGCTCGTGTGGAAATGTATAGCAGCCAAATACTATTAAGAACACGTTTATAAATGTATGTAAAATAATCTGTAATTTTTGTTATTTTTTTGCTATTTCGTGTACGTTTCAGA